AATTTGGAATCAACAGTGATATACGTTGAGTCAGAGGCCGAAGGTTGTGAAGCAAAATAAACAATATCTAGCCCAAAAAGCTTACAAAAATATGATTAAGTTGCAGTAGTGTAAATTGCGAAAAAATCGTTTGCAAATATAATTCAAAGTATGTATGTATGTAGCAGTGCCGAGATTTGTTTTAGAAATTTATATAATTTCTAGGCTGACACCATGAGAGGAGAATAAGAGAGGCATATCATTTGAAAGAGGTAGATAGGAAGAGCGAACAGTAGTTAAATTAAATGAAATGGATATTCATGAAAGTACTTAAAATATTAGAAATACTCAAACGACAGAGTAAAGTTCATCATCTTTCTTTTAAAACTGTGGGAGCTTTGCTCTATCCTTTATATATTTTTAAGCAGTATTTTTTTCCCAGGCACAAGAAATTAGTGTTTTTTCATTGCTGGTACTTAACGGAACGTAAAATAAATGTTTTTGAAATTGCATTGGGAATTATCGCAGCCAGCGGAGGAATGTTCATGGATATTTATATCAATTCTATGCCTGCAATGCATTTAAGAAGAAATATGAAAATCAGCTCAACAAAATTCTTTATGCCAACATTAAATCCTTTGCAAACTATTAAAGTATTTGCCAAATCCTTGACATAAAAATAGTACGCACTTCGAATGTCTCGCAATGAAAAGGAAAACAGCCTCAGTACCTTTTATGCGCCTACGGGAGGGCCAGCCAGAGCGGAGGACGACTAGGTGCTTATGGAACCCACTGGGGTTCAGGGCACATATCATCCACATCTCACATGGCATCCCCCTGCTGTGTTGGGGTTCGACTATTAGCATATTCCTGCGCTGCCGCTGACACTTAATGATGTAGAAATGTTGCCAAAATGTGTCCAAATCCTTCTCCTTCACTCCCCTCTGCGAAAGACTCTACAAACCTTTTATCCATCCATTTAATTTTTTTCCGCTGATGGTTTTCGTCAGATGCAATTCCATATCTGCGATTTTCTCTTGACGAATGAGAACGAGCACGAACGGGAGCATATTGATCCCGTTTATATTTATTCATGTCCAAAACGTGAACAGAAATGCAGAGATTTTCATCTTTTTCTGGTTCTGGTTGGAGTAATGTTTCTCTTTTGTATCTCTTCCGTTTTTTATTTATTCTTTGATTACAATATTACAGGCACCTACCTTAGGGGCGAGTGAATGCACAAAACTGTCTCCCATTTCGAGCACTCACTCATCCAAAAGCGGGAAAAGACAAAAAAAAACAAACCGAATCATGTTGATGAACCCCATTCAAATTCAGAAATTTCTGCTGCCTGTCTGTTGATTTCCAATTAAAATATAGCTCAATCACATGCACTGAATCAATCATTGGATTCGACCCATCTATAGTCTCGCCAGCAAATCACATTATAATTTAACAAATGAGCAGAGCGCCTAACCTCTCAAAATTGCTAGGCTACAAGGATTACATTTTTCAGGAAACAAGCGTTAAAAGCGTGAAAGCGAGCATGTAATAAATGCGGAAACATACGCTCCATTCAGGTGGAGATTCTGCCATCCGTGATATCCCTGGAAGTTGACACCAAAGAGGGTTCAGAGGGTTTTTTTTTCCCCACGACTTCCATTAAATATTGATCATGTCAGCAGACAAAAAGTTTACCTTTAAGAAAATATAAAGTGTGCTTAAGGTTAATCCACTTTTCGTTAATGACGAAGACCTATTTATATATTTAATTGCTTACATTTTTAAAATTATTGAGTTTTTCTCTCTCTTCTCAAGCTACTCAAAATTATAATCAGGATTACTTACAGTCTTTTAGATACTTCTGTTTGACAAGGCAAGTGTCCAATAACATGAAAGTAAAGCAAATTGCCTGATTGCCCCTAGAGCAATTTTTTATTGTCAATTTAATAAAACCTTTTATCGAGGATACTATCATCTGTTTAAACAGTTGACTGGGTAAATACTGGGTAAGTGCCCTAGGCAGAGAGGAGAGTGTAAAGGTTGTTGGCTGGACTATCCCACTCTCTCCTTCTCGCATCCTGTCAGCCTTTTTCTACATCCAGTTAATGTGAATTTCAGTTCTTTTCAGAACTTTTCCTTAAAGTACGTAATATTTAAATGCAAGTGGGCACGGATGGAGAACTTCGCCATAATGATGAAAGCTTATGATGTGTCTACGGACCACTGCCCCATCAAATTTAACGCTAACGCCGCATAGTAGAAGAGTCTTCCCATTGACTGGTGCAATTGAATTATATGTCTCACGACTCGAATGGAGGAAATGTGGTTGCGCTTGCCCATAAAATTTTAGTTTTCCTGAAGTTTCTCGAAACTGACGCAGCTTGAGAAATGAAATTTAATTTTGCAGCTTCAGATGAATGACTAAAAATAAAAAATAAATCCAAGCTACAAGCTACCCAGCGTGCGCCAGAGGTACTTGAATTTAATACGCTAGGGAAATACAGCCAAGTGGAGCATTAAATATTTGTCTAAGCCGTGACTTTAAGGATAATCCAGCACAGATTACCTCATACACAACCCCTCAATGTGAGTAGTATTTCCATCCAGGTGGCACACTTTCATTCCCTGAAATTGTACCAGATCCCAGCTCTCTAGCGCTGGTAGTGGCGATGAATAATGGGATAGTAGTATACGAATTTTCGAAGATGCCGAAGATGGCAGAGCTGGGGACACGCTGCTTTCACAGGGAAATCCCTTTTGAGCCACCCTCGTAGGGGCTTAAATTCTAATAAAGAAAATTCGTATGGCTTTTCACAGGCAACATTTTGACTAGGTCTTCCGCAACGTCAAGATTTCATTCACGTATGTAACATAAAATTCGAAATTAATTTAGGGGAAAAAGAATTGTTGGATAAATAAAACCCATTGCCAGCGATATGGCATAGACGAGACAACAAAACGCACAACTTGAACTAGCAGCAGTTATTGTTGGTCATGCTTCAATTTAAGAGTGCGGGTTTTGTTCTATGCAATAAAAAGTGTGCAACGAAAACCACAACAAAGTTGAAATGAATGGCTGTAAAGTCAAAAGAAAGGAGAGGACAATGCAAAATACAAAAATACCGGCATTGACGAAGCCGAAAGCAGAGGCAAAGGCTAGCCTAAAAGAGAATGGAAGAAATACCCCGCGCCCACACACAAGCACAGTATGTGTGAATTCATGGCACACACACATTTACGTAACCTGGAAACGAAACTCGAAAAATAAGAATTGATAAATATTTTGTGGTTCTGTGTACACACATACCACTTGCAATTCTAGGCTTGCTTTCGCATCTTGTCATGAATCGAACATGTCGAAAAAATGCCGAACGTCTCAGGCCCACGACCCGAACGTCTCAGCACCACAGCCGAATGGTCCCAGCACCCCAGCCGAAGACCTGCGGGTGCTGGGACAGAAAACTCAGCTGCGACACGTTCGGTTTATGAACTGGCACATCTATATACTGTATGGCTAGTGACCTGGACCAGAACCCGGACCCGGACTCGGACCCAGGCCTGGGTCACCATTTTTATGTGCCAAATTATCCTTTCAGCTTGTTGGGCCCCAGATTTCTGTTCAGTTGCCTCATTTGCCATGCCATGAGTTCGGGATGGGATGGGCTGGGCAGCCATTGGCATTCCCATTCCCCCAGCTTTTCCCCACTCGTGTTCATAGGATTTTGCAAATTATTGTTGACAGTCGTAATAAATTTCCACAGCATTTGAAATTGAACATTTGCATTAAATGTGATGTCACTCGATGCTTGTCAAACGTATGCGAAAATTGTAAATTTCCGCAACACCGCTGTATCTGCCTGTGTGTTTGTGTGTCAGAGCCCAGACCCCTTCCTTCCCTTTCCTAGATGTTCATGCTGTCACTGTATTGGCTGCTGTCCGTAAAGGCGCATCGAACTGGAAAATTATTTGGTCATTATGTCAATTTGGGGGAAAACGAAGTGGCCGGGTAAGTAAAATTGGTTGCCACCCGTCGAACCAAACGCAAGCCGACAGAAACAAAGCGGCAGGCGCAGGCAATGAACCCAGAAAAACAGAAACAAACGCAAAGGAAATAAATAAATAAAAGTGACCGCCAATGCATTATAAAATTAATTAAATTTACAATTTCTGCACCCCTCCCACCACCCTCTGAAAAGAGGTTTAAAAGATATGGCGGGTATATAATTTAGTTCTAGGAGTACCCGTTGCCTCCTTCTTCCCTTCTACACCCCGCATTGACGTCGTTTCCGGGCCTTCCATCGGAATCGGCAGCTGGCATCACATCCTCTTCATTTGCGTACATCTTGTTGGGCATGCCGCTGGTTGCAGTGTCCTGAGCTTAAAAAATAAAACAAATATTTAAATTTTCCACCAATTTATGATATCCGCAAAAGTGGTAAAATAAAAACCAAACAAAACAACGAGCTCTGAGCGCCAGACTACAGTCTGTGTGGCAAAGGGAAACGTTGACAGCAAATTATAAAAACAATTGGATCAGGCAATCATCAGAAAATGGCGAATTTCCAATGCGCTACGCTAAGTGCGAGCGAAAGTTTTATCAAATGAAAGAATATGCATTTAAATTGAATTCATTCGAAGGAAGGCTGTTTCCAACCGGTCTCAATAATACGCACACACATACATATACCAAAAAAAAAGTATGGCTACACTGCACAATAAGTGTACGAAATATGTACACACGCATTTCTTATCCCCTTGTGCTGCTTTCCACTTTTCGTTGTTGCGGTGCCAGACTTGCATTCCCCTCCCGATTCCCTTTCTGTTCCCATTCGTAGTGTGCAAATAATATATCGAAAGCGTACAATATTGATATCGAAAGTTTGTATCCATTATGCTGCTGCTACAAACACAAGCAATCGGAGGGTAAAAACATCGCACATAAATAAGTTTAAAATAATGCGAAGCGTATGGGCAATAATTTTAAAATTTATGTTTATTTAAAATTACAGTTTATATGCCAAATTCACACAGACATCAGAACACACACACAGATGCAGCTGCTCCGAAAATAAATTTTGCATTCATCCAAATTGGGATAATGGTTAAATGGCAATTTGAATTGAAATAATACACCGCCCCGAAATTCGTAGTAAGAAAACATCGGTACCCAAAGACGGCATCGATATTTTATGTCAGTGTTGGCAACGATTATTTAATTGCAGCTCTAAATTTCCGGACTCGCTGTGTGGTTTTTCGTGCGCCAGTCTCTGCTTAATTTCTACAATAACTAGTTAGGAATTAATCATAAGAGCGCGATGTCCGTTTCAAAGGTGACACGACAAAGATCAATCAAAGAGTGAGTAGAAATCAATCGAGCGGATGAATTGCCAGAAATAATTAGGACTTTTGTGCCTGCCGCTGTTCTTAGCTGGCTGGTGCCATTGGAGCCAGGAGAACTCTCGGTGTTCAAGTGGTAAGCGAATGTTCGATTTAGTCTCAGTTGAATCCAAGCTAACTTAACATACCCAAACCGATGCGTGGAAGCTCCCCGTCGTACCATTACCGGATGAATGCTGCCGACAAGGAAAAAAATCTAATACGGTATGTCAACAATTCGGCCAAGCATCAGCCAATCGGAATAATCTGAACTAATCTCGTCCATCCGCAGGCTTAACATTTCATCCGTGGCGCAATTGAAGGAGCTATGCCGCCCAGTCAAGTAAGTAAATATTTTGCGATTTAGTTAAGCGGACAGGTTTTAGTTGGCCATCACGTGCCATCACAATCTACTGTGGGTGCAGCGACGGACGGTTTTAATTCTTGTTAAATTGCTTTAAAAAAGGAAAAGAGACACAAGATACACGTGCATACACACATACATATGTACGTACACAAAAGGAAAGGGAAAGACGAGCATAATGTAAATACAGCCTTTGTGTAGAATTCGATTAGAAAAGGCACCCAACTAAGCTCTGCGTCAGCGTTGAGTAAATAGTTAATGAGTTGAATGAATAACCTATCCTTTTTGTTGTTTTTGTTGTTGCTGTTGTCATCCAAAACTAATCGTGTACACATCCAACCGAAGAACTAAGCCGCCGATTACTTCGACACCAAAGCGTCGGTATAACCCACGCAAGAAGTGAGTAAACTTATTTCGAAAAAGAGGGACAAAAAAACTAATGAAAATATCTTACATTTGTACATATGTATACAGGCCGCAAGCTGCTGCTGCTGCTGGTGCCAAGAGGTGAGTGAATTATACCTGATCCCTGATCTCTTATCTTACTTGATGCTAACCAAACCCGATTAAGAAGTGGCGCTCGACCTGTAAAAACGTCCCAAGTCAAAAATATGTTCCAGAATACCACAAGTGGGGGTACCACACCGGCGGAGAGTGTTCCGTGAGTAAATATTATTCCACTCAGAGAGCAGCGGAGCGAGCTAACGTTACAATTTATATTTGGCCAGAAGCTTACCAAAATCGGTGCCCATAAAAAAGGAGAAATCGGTTGAGGAGCTGAAAAATGTTTCCAATCAGTAAGTTAATTCGAGAGTTCAGTTCCCAAGCAACGCCCAACACTTTGCATTTATAATTTAACACTTATATAAAAGACTGGAATATCAAGAAGTCTCGTGTGAGGATGCAAGTCTCAGGCGCTCACCCAACATGACGACGACCAACGACGACCGTGCTGGTGCCGGGATGGGTGTGGTCCAGCCGACTGGGCTTTCCGAAACAGACGTCAAGGCCACTGATATTGTAAGCAAGCTCGAAGTAGAAAAAGAAGAAGGGTTCAACGTGCCAACCTGGGAAGTGTGCAGCGACGGAAGAAACTACCAGCCCCCTGACAATACGTAAGAAAATCCAACAGCTCCTCCAGTTCTTTTTCAAAGATATTTTTATCCAGGAGCGATACAGAAGAGGTTGAACCTAACTACGATTTGATGCTACTCGAACGTAAGTTGGCCAATATGAGACATTACAGAAAAAAGATTCAGATACAAGAACCCAATATGTATTACCCATTTGTATCTTGCAGTGAAAGAAGAATTGTTTTGTTAATATGAGTATCATCATATAATAAGTCATTTACATACATATCAGGCTCGGAACACGCTGGCTTATTTTTTACCGGACTTACTGAATATCTTCATTTATTTTCATACTAATTTTTCACTTAAATCCTAAGCCAAATATCAATAACCCATTCAGATATCGAATTTAAGTAATACACTCATGTCTCAAAGATCTCTAAGCCCAGTGGCCAGTAGTAGTAGTATGTTTAGTAAAGTCCTATTAGGACGATTCGGTGTGTAAGAATAATAATTCTATGCGACTATGAATTCAACGTTTTTGCTATTGAATTTTAATTAATTTTACAAATAATGGCTACAACGGGGTAAAGAAAAACAACCAACAACAACCAACAAACAAAAGAATTAATGTCAAACGAAAATTAAGAATTACAAAAAACAAACATGCACAATTACCAGGGAATCGAATAAACTCAAATACCTAGTATACCTATTTCAGTAAAAATATTCTTTGTGTGCTGCTTCACTTGAAAACTATTTGGAAGCTAATATTTATTTTTATTTAAGAAAGAAAATGCATTCTTACAATTTTAGTTTGTTTTGATCGTATTTATATATTTGTTTGTATATATATGCGACTTTTGATTCTTACCAATTTGTATTTAAACCAAACAGAAATATAAATTTAAATCCAATTATTGGTTTTGACATACATATGGAAGATTGAAAAACACAATAATATAAAATAAACTACTTTAAATGTTTCCTCAAGAATTCCAAACAAATATTAATTATTAATATATTATTCAATTAAGTACCTAGATATGGATAAATGTAAATTCCCATTAACTTTTTATGGCTTTATGGAATTCAAATATTTTTGGAGCATCTTTTCCAATTTGAATTGGGGAAAAAGATTACAATTAACGACGCTGCCATAAAAAGTGGCGAAAGAATTCCGCGAATTATTTGCGCTCTGTTGATCTTGAAATGCTCTGCAATTGGAAGACTAGCCGAGCACACCCTCACCGCCCACCGTTAGTATCCCTTTGGCTTTCTACAGCCATCGGGCGAGGCGCGGGGCAGCTGCTGATTATACCCGTACTCAAAAAAGAGTTAGGGGGTATATTAGATTTGTGGTAAAAGTGGATGTGTGTAACGCAGAGAAGGAAACGTTTCCGACCCCATAAAGTATATATATTCTTGATCAGCATCAATAGCCGAGTCGATATAGCCATGTCCGTCTGTCCGTCCGTCCGTCTGTCCGTCTGTCCGCCTCGATGAGCGCCTGGATCTCAGAGACTATAAGAGCTAGAGAAACCAAATTTGGTTTCCAGACTCATGTGATATCACACTGCTACAAGTGTATTTCAAAATTTCGCCCCGCCCCCTTCCACCTCCACAAAGAACGAAAATCTTTGGCAGGCACAATTTTAAAGATACGATAAAAATAAAAAACGCAGTATCGTAGAGAATGGCCATATCTACCTGATCGCCGAATCTGAATTAGATCGGATCATAATTATAGCCAGAATGAAGAAATTTTCTGTTGGTTCTTCCACCCGTCACCTGCCAGTAGCGATCACGCTACTCGTTCTCTTTCTCGCTCGCACACTCTGCCGCGTTCAGTGCGCGAGCAACCCCTAGCGGAGGAGATGTAGAATATAAATGGAACATGTACAATCTACATGTTAGATGTAGAATATACATTGCAGATGTAGATAACAAATGTAGAAAATGTAGTATAATGTAGATTTTTTTTTTAATTCTAAAATTCTAAAAAATCATAAACTCAAAAATGTATATACTGACTGAGTACGGGTATAAGTAGAGTCGCGTCCCCAGAAGCGACTCGCACGTTCCTTCTCGTTGGTTATGGATTTGTAAACAATTTGTGGAACTTAAGTTTGTTTTTGAATTCTGTCTTGACTAAAGGTTGGACTTTGTGAATGAAATATTTTTTAATAGAAATTAAATAGAACAGGAAAATATATGATTCTTTCATGGATGGTCCATAAATGCTTAGAGGTTTGTGTCTTGTCGATACATAAAGCCTTTTTACAGTTAAAAATATCTCTAAAAGCCTGCATATATTTTCCCCTTAAATGTAGGGGTAAGAAAATATTTTCTTTTATTTAGGGTAATGTCGCAAGTTTGATTACATATGTATATGTATGTACCTATAGGTTACATAGTAATTTATAAAAAGAATATACGGTTCGCATTAAATGGCTGCAGTACGAAACTTGACTCTCTTCATTCGACGATCCACAGCGACTCTCTGTACTTTCAACATCGAGCTAAAACGCTGCAGAGAGAGTGTTATCGAGCATGCAGATCTGCGGCTTTTGCCTATGTCCCTCACCTATACGTGCCCCTACCTTGCCTCACCTAAGCTGTGATATTCCCTCATATACCCCATTCCCACATAACTTCATATTTGAAGTAAAAAAGTTGCACAAAACTTTCCATAATGTTCGCTTTATTAAAAATAATTATCAGCCGAAAGTTGGAAACGGATGTTGCTAAATATTTGCTGAAATATTTAATATCCTTTTTATACTGTGGATTCTCTCAACTTTTCACCGTGAATACCACTGTTAAAAACTTTTTTTCCATACATACAACTATTCAAATGTGCAAACAAACAAAGCTTTTTACTCTTTAACGAGTAATGTAAATTGTGAAACAAAATCCATTTCGGGTGTGCAGCCACTGGATGTTGTTGCCCAGTTGGTATATTCTGAACTGGCCCTAAAGTTAGGGGTACGCACACGCATAAGTAAAAAAGTTTGGTGCTTCTGCCATGTAGATTCACGGTATTAATTAAAATTAATGTGGTATTAATGAAAACTTTAAAATTTATCAGATATGCGGTCGCAATTCCCCCCTTTTTTCTCGTGCATCCAGCAGCAGCTTTATAGTCAGCACAGATACTCAGAAATAACAAAGTTTGTATCACACTCCGACAGAGATACAGACAGGATGCAATTGGTGCAGCGCTTAGTGTACTTGTGTATGCATTTCTTTCTTGTGGCCACAACTGCAATCCAAAAAGGGCCATAGGGCAGATGCGTGACAGGATCTGACCGCAGGCTGCTGCTCCAACTCCAAATCCAAACAGACAGCAGCTGGCGAACTGTCAGCTGCACCGTCATTCTCCAGTTCATGGCCCCATCCTTTAGGTAGGGCCCAACTGTTGACATTACATTGTTTATGGGTCTTGGATCTGCATTAAAATATTTGATGCATCCCATTTCTATTGTTTTTTTCGCCTTTCCTTCGGGGTCCAATGAATTGCTGTAAACACTCGGGGGCTCATTCTGTTGCCATTGCAAATTCTTTCTGCTGCCGTTTCCTGACATTTTGCATGCAGTGCTTAGACAATGGTAAAGCGTCGCCTGTTGTCTGGTTAGGATACCTTCCTTTTCCCTAGCTATTTGCGGGGTCCTCCGATGGAAATTATATGTAAAACTGAAACTGAGGAAACTATTGCGACATTTAAGCAAATACTGGGACGAAAACCAAAGCACGTCAATGATTTTTTTTACCCACAATTATGGCAACCATTTGGCTGGGCTCCAACCTAGGTAGAAGCCTTCTATTTGCCCAGGCCTAACCACAAAAAGCTGTATCGTATGTGTGTGTGTGTATCCAAAGGGTAACCTACGAATGCCCAAGGCACAATTTTAAATTTCCCATATCGTTGAGGTCACCCACCTTAAACAATTTTAATCCCAAAATCGATTATGTCTCAAATGAAAATCTAACCCTAAAATTTGCAGTGTCTGCGAAATGCCATCCGACTGTCTTTTAAATTAAATTAAATGCATAAAATTGTCATAAAGTCTGTCATTATGCAAACTTCTGCCACAATTTACGACACTTTGCCAGATTGTTTTATGGGATACAAATTACAGCTATGAAGTAATTTTCTTTTGTCCATAAAT